GATGCGCGCGGGGCGCAGTCTTGGCCCCACGGCCCGGCTCCCGAGGGCGGCCCGCGCGACAGGAACTTTCTCTTCGTGGGAGTCATGACCGCCCAGAAATACCTGCAGACCCGCGCCGTGGCCGTGTACAGGTGAGCCCTCCTCCCGCAGCCGGCATACCTCCCACGGCTCCTGCCTTGGCCTGGTTCCCAGGACCCAGGCTCCCGGGGTGCCCCTCGGGGGGGATGCCCCTCGGGGGAAGCCAGGCATTGGGCAGCAGAGGTCAGAGGCAGGACGTGGAGCTCTCATCACTCAAGATGCAGGGACTTGGGGGTCAGATGGACGGACCATGGTGACCCTCTGGGTGTGGTCCTCACCCTGACTGTGCAAGGCACTTCCTTTAAAAAAAATGTTTTTAATATATTTTATTGATTTCAGAGAGGAAGGGAGAGGGAGAGAGAACGAGAGAGAGGAAAATCAATGATGAGAGAGAATCATGGACCGCCTGCCTCCTGCATGCCCCCTATTGGGGATGGAGCCAGCAACCTGGGCCTGTGCCCTGATGGGAATCGAACCGTGACCTACTGGTTCCTAGGTCGACGCTCAGCCACTGACCTGGTTAGACCCCCTTGTTGGCATGCGTGTAGATTTCACTTTGGGGCGCTGCTGTTCGTGAAAGGGGGTGCCCACTGAGCCCGCCAGTCTGCAGTCAGTGGAAAGAGCACCTTTGGGAAAAGCGGTTTTCTGGCCGGCGGGGATGTGCTGTTCACCAGCCCCGTTCGGTGATGAGATGCCGGCGGCTGGGCCCTAGTTGGCCAGATGAGTCATAAAAGTGGCCGGAATCATGTTCAGGGATTAGCGACGGGATTAGGCAAAGTCGTCTTTAGCAGGGAGATGGTTTGGGAATGGCAGATGGGTGCTGGGGTGAATTTGAGGTAGACGAGGGGCGTGGGTTCCTTCGGAAACCTTACCCGTGTGAAGTACAGAAATGCTGAGGTGCGGGAGGGAGCTTTTGGAGCACACAGCGCTGAGCAAGGACAAGCTGGTTGGTTCTTTTAAAAAAATATATATTTATTGATTTCAGAGAGGAAGGGAGAAGGGGAGAGAGTCATGGATCAGCTGCCTCCCGCACGCCCCACACCGGGGATGGAGCCCACAACCCGGGCATGTGCCCTGACCGGGAATGGAACCGTGACCTCCTGGTTCCCTTTGCCCTTCCGTTGCCTTGATTCATGAGTGACCCCCCTTTAGGATCTTGTCTAAATCCAGAGCTGAGGTCCTGCCCAGAAGGGCCCTGAGTGACGGAATGCCCCTAAGTGCCACTGGAGACCAAAGTCACAATTTGGGAACCTGCAGATCAAGGTGTGTTTCCCCCCCCCTCCCCCCAAGATCTAGAGTTAATAATTACCCAGAATTTTATGCCAATTGTGCTTTTTGGCCAGAGAACTATCCACATCAGAAATTGAGGGTGAGCTTTGTCAATCGCTCACAGCGTGGTTTTAAAAAATGTACCCCCACGTGACTGCCGTTTGGTGACTAGTCCTGTGACTGTACAACATTGAGGAAAGTTCTGAGTGGTTTGTTCAGATAGTAGGTGGTGTGACTCCTTAACCTCCCCACCCCCACACACCAAACAAATAGATTTTTCTGGACGCAAAATCCAGTCGGTGTTCTGGTATACCAGCAGGACCCAGAAAATGGAACTCAGGCTGAACATAATGTTTTATACTTGGGGTGATTTTTGTCCCAAAGCCCAAGCTTGACCTCTTGTGGCCTCCTTCCAAAATCTCCTATCTCATCTTTTTCAGAGATACCATTTCTTCCCATTGGGTTTTTTTGTTGTTTTTTTTTCCCTTCAGGCACTTAGTGGAAAGCAGAAAGCAATTTACCCTCTGCCCTCCCTACCCCCTTGCTTCTCTGTGACAACTAACTGCCTTTCTGATAAAGTCCTTATCCAGACACACTGTGTCCTGGCTTCCTTCTTTGTGGACAGCCCTGCCTTTCTGATAAAGGAAAAAACCCTTAGGGGGGGAAACGGTGTATCCTATCCAGTCATTCATCGCTCTCCCACATACCTTTTCATTTATCTCTTTGATCTTAAGAAGTTACAGTTACTTGGAGCCTGAGGGGGACCTGCCCCGCCCTGTGAAGGGCCTGGGCTCTTCAGCTGTCCACCCTGTGTTTAGACTGGCTGCAGGAGATGGCACAGGACCGTTTTAGCCTGGAGAAACTCGGGAGGCAGGCCTGAAGTGGGACGGAGGCTGGAGGGTGTAACTTATGATTACAAGCCTTTGCTGTGCTCTGCAGCTTGAGCCAGGCGTCCACGCTCAGCTCTTAGATTGGAAAAAGTTCCTGCGCAGCTAGCTCGGTGTAAAAGCCAGCTGGGCCCTGGCTGGTTTGGCTCAGTGGATAGAGCGTCGGGCCTACGGACTAAAGGGTCCCAGGTTCGATTCTGGCCAAGGGTACATGCCCAGGTTTCAGCCTCAATCCCGCCCTCCTCCCCGCCCCCCAGTAGGGGGCGTGCAAGGAGGCAGCCGATCCATGATTCTCTCTCATCATTGATGTTTCTCTCTCTCTCCCTCTCCCTTCCTCTCTGAAATCAATAAAAATAAAAAGTTAGCTGGGATCCTCCTGCACAAGGTGGGACTCCGGTTTGGCATGGGGTGTGGTCAGCTCAGATCTCCCCTAAAAGGCAAATTTATTCCAATTCTTTGTTTGCCTTAGCAAATACTCGAGTGTTTCTGGTTTCTTTTTCTTTTTTAAACATATTTTTATTGATTTCAGAGAGGGAGGGGGAGAGAGAAACATCAATGATGAGAATAATCGATTGGCTCCCTCCAGCACGCCCCACCCTGGGGATGGAGCCCGCAACCTGGGCATGTGCCCCGACCGGGAATCAAACTGGGACCTCCTGGTTCATAGGTCGACGCTCAACCACTGAGCCACACCGGTCGGGTTGTCTGCTGGGGTGTTATTCTGAGCGAATTAGCAAGACCCAGTTTAGACAGGAAAGGGAGGCGATTGCATTCTGTTCTGAGCAGTAAATTCTGCCTGGTGTGTGGACGGTCGGTTGTAGAGAAGCGGGGAGATGTTAGGAGGGGGATCCGGGTGGGGGTGCGGCTGGCTGGGGCTAGCGGGGGGCGATGGGGAGAAGCGGGCGGTCCCTGGGCCAGAGTTAAAGATGCGCTGATGGAACGTCCATGACTTGTAAGCAGCAAAGAGTTAGCGGGACTTCTAGGATTTTGCCTTGAAAGGCTGGGTGGGTGATTGTGTCACCCCTGGGGGCGGGGAAGGCCTGAGGGGGAATTGGTCTGTAGGGGAAGGACGTGAGTCAGCAGAGAGCTGGGTTTGCACAGGAAGAGTTGTCAGAGCTTTCCGACACACGGGTGGGTGTATCCTTGGTTTCATCCACGTAATAAATTTATTTTCAAAAATTGAGAGGGGATTTGCATCTCAGGTGATCGTATTGTTGGAGCTCCGAACGGATCTGGAGCTAAGATACCTTGAAGGTTCTGGGTGGCTGGAGATGTGCAAATACCTGCGAAGGTTGTTTTGACTCCTGCAAAGGATTTGTATTCGAGGTCATTTCACTGCAAATAGTCCCGTGAGTCCCCCGTAGTGATGTGTCATGTTGGTTGGTGACAGGTCATCAGTGTGCCTGGGTTCCTTGCACCTTCCATTACTAGTTGCAACTCATATTCTTCCCTTTAAAAAAATAAAATAAATGACATTGTTTGATATACAGACGTCACATCTTCAGGCCTCGCCAGTTTGGCTCAGTGGGTAGAGCATTGGCCTGGGGACTGAAGGGTCCCGGGTTCGATTCCAGTCTAGGGCACCTGCCTGGGTTGCAGGTTCCCTGTCCCTGGTCGGGCCGCGTGCAGGAGGCAACCCACGGATGTGTGTGTGTGTGTCTCTCTCTCTCCCCCTTCCACTCTCTCTAAAAACCAATGGAAAAATATTCTCCGGTGAGGATTAACCAAAAAGAAAAACAGTTACATCCTCATGTCGTTCACTTTTTTATTTTTATTTAAATCCCCCACCCCAAGCTCAGAAAGTCATCATCCAGGAGAGAGTTTTAAAAGTAACTTTTTTTTTTCTAATCATAAAAGCGGTAGGAACATCACCACCTCCCCAACCAGTATACTATTTTTCGAACCAGCCCTGGTTTCCCTCCCGGTGGTAAGGCCATCTCCATCCTACTCCGCATTCCTGGGTCTGTTTCTCGAACTTCCGATCTGGTTCCCTTGATCTTCCTGTCTGTTCTCCGGCCAGTCCCACCCGTGGAAGGGACTGGAAGTCGAATAATATTTTAATTTCCGGTGGACAAGGGCCCCTTTGTTACTCTTCTGTCCCCGGCACGTCTTGGCTACACTTCACCTGTTCTTGCTGGGAGAGTTTTGATGCTGTTTAGCGATTTAAAAAAGTAATGGTTGGATTAGAAGCCTACATCGTTAGCTTTTCAGTCCATTTTTTGACCTAGGGCACTGAGCTAACCCAACACCTCTCTTTTTTCTTTTCTTTTCTTTTTTTAATTAGTTTTTATTGATTTCAGAGAGGAAGGGGGAGAGAGAGAAACATTGATGATAAGAGGATCATGGACCGGCTGCCTCCTGCACGCCCCATACGGGGGATCGAGCCTGCAACCAGGGCCTGTGCCCCGACCGGGAATCGAGCTGTGACCTCCTGGTTCATAAGTTGATGTTCAACCACTGAGCCACACCAGCCGGAATAACCCAACACCTTTTATTTGTCTTGGTTCCTAGCTGTCCTGAGCTGAAGACGAGGAACTGTGTTTCTGTTCTGTTTTGTTGTTGTTGTTAATCCTCCCCTGATTTCCATTAATTTTTAGAGAGAGTGGGAGGGAGAGGGAGAGACTGAGAGAAACATCGATATGAGAGACACACACATTTGATTGGCTGCCTCCTGCACATGCCCCGTCCAGGGCTGGGGATCGAGCCTGCAACCGAGATACATGCCCTGCACTGGAATCAAACCCAGGACCCTTCAGTCCAAAGGCCGACGCTCTATCCACTGACCCACACCGGCCAGGCCTTGTGCTTTCTTTGCTTTCTCAGAAGATAGAGGGGGATGGTTTCCCTTCGTAGCCCTGGGCGGGACAAAGGGGACAAAGGGCTCCGGGGATAGATTA